AGATCTGGGGGAAGGTGTGTTCATATCATATTGTAGTATTTATGGCGATTTTTCCTCCTCGTTGTCCTAAGCCTTGTTGTTTTTCTGTGTTAACGTGTTTCCCTGCGTTGTGCCTTTGCCCTTGGATGATTCCACTAATGGTACTGAAAGGCCCCTTGGTTCTGCAGCTTGGAGAACCACCATCCTCAGTAATGACACCCCCTCACCATGGAAGTGTGTTCCATATTTCTTCTCCTCTTAGATGAATATTATTTAAAGAAGGAAAATGAGGTTGATGAGCTGGTAGCAGAGTTAGTTATGGCTACTGCATTCTCAGAATGTCAGCAAGCAGTCAGGTTGTAAGGCCTGGCATCCCTCAGTTGGCTTCATTCCAGAATAGAACTTGGAATATTTTTTTTTTTATTTCCTAGAATGGGTTGATGAACTGGATTATTTTATTTAGTGGGCGGAAAGGGTAGGATTTGGGTAGGTACCAGAGTCGGCCTATTACATGATTCTTCCTCCCCACCCCATAGTCATAGTACATAGATTCAAAATACACTGGGTTGGCCCAGGGTCTTTCTGTATTTGTCCCTGAATTTGGAGACTTAAGACGTGGTTATTTGTATTTGAGCTCACAGTGACAGTTTTATTTGCTGTGATGTGTTGTATGAACATTCTATTCTGGTGTTCCCCTGCTCCTCAATTTTGTTTTTGTCTTTTTGTTATAGAAAATTTGAGTGGCAAAGTACCAGATTTCAGGCAGTTATAGTACATTGGTTTGAACCCTCAAAGCATGTAGTAGCGCTGAAAGAAAGGAAAAAGTAAAATGGTATAAGTAAATGGTTTTTAAGAGATAGGTTTAAGTGCTGTATGATTTAGTTGAATATGGCCAATGGCAGGGTGTTTAAGATTAAGGAATTAATAGCCTTATGCTTGATAACAACATCAAGCCTTCAGATTAGGGGTCTGATCAGTTACCGCCTTAAGCGTCTACTTCCGATGCTTCATGAAATTATGGGAATGACTCTATGTGTAAAGCTTAACTAAACTTGGGGCCTATAATATTACTCGAAAAGAAAGACGGGCAAAAAGAAACTGTGAAAGGTGTTTGGCAACGAGCGACAGAGGGAGCTCACAAACCCTTTGAAGGTCAATTAGCCAGAAAATGTGCTAAAGACGGGGGCGCTGGGCTGGATTACTGGCCCAAGAATTACCCCCAAGGGCCTCAAAGTGGTTCTGCCTTTGGAGCAGAGAGAGACAATTATAGACCTGGAGGAGATGCTACAAAAGCTTTAATTAAGGGACTTACTTACACCCCACTAAGTCTTGGAAATTAAATTCTTATTTGTGCTTAACTGGTGTTTCTTTTATCTGGGTTTCCACGTGTATTTCAGCGGAGAACACTTTTCCCAAAATCTTTATGTTGGGAGCTGTTTTACTGTGGCGGACACCAGCCTCGCAGAAGGAGCAAGGTGGAAGAGTGGGCTGAGCAGCTTTCTGCTGGGAGAGTTTGAGGGGGCACAGCTTGAAAATTAGTATTTATGCACCTTGTAAACCAGGATCTGTTTAGCTGAAATACATGAATGAAAGTGTTTTTTAGAGAATGTGGATTTTTGGGTATCTATCACAAGGCAGTATGGTTTTCCCTGAGTTGGCAATTTCAGGTTTCTAGACCTAGCAGGGTGCTTTTTCTCCAGAAATGTTTTTGCTTGTTGATGAGAGTAGGCTTGGTGACCATCAGGCCAGGCTTGTAATTAGGTTCCATTCAGACAGGACTTCTGTCACTTCTGGAAAGACTGGTTTCAGAGGCTTTGGTCCTAGCTCAGGCAGCAGGCTCAGGTCTAGGAGTGAACTCCCCTCCTGCTGATGGTAGAGCTGCCCTCCTCTTTGAACCCCACCTAATTGCTGCCTTCTGGGTGCGTTCTCTTTGTTAGTGAAGAGATTATTCTCTGTCCCCTGCCCTTTCTTTGAAGCAATTCACTTTTGCCTGCAAAGTCTGGTTTGAACCAAAGAGGGTTTTAAAAAGCACTGAGTGAAACACTTGTGTTTTTGTAATTTTAAATTTTCTTTCGGTGTTTACAGTTTATATGCATTATCAGTCAAGTGCCGCTTTTTTCCTTCTAGTTTTTCTTTTCCTCCTTGGGTTAACAGTCTACAACACTGTATAGGTCCCAGGTGCAGTTTCTCACCTCAGTGATGGGCACAAGGAGTGGCTTACTTTAGGTTCCCTTGCAAACTTGAAGACCCTTTTGTGTGTCCCTCAATTTGTGCGTGCAAAGAATAGAACTTGCTCTGACTGAACAGGAACCAGTAAGAAGACCGCAGGAAGTGTTTATATCAATCTGACCTTGTTAGAAATGAAAAAAAGCCAGAAAAGTTAAAAATTGTCATCATAGGTCAACGTATGCAGTTTTCAACAACTCGGGTTTATATAAAAATCCTGTTATTAGGTTGAATTTCCCCCGTGGATGGGTAGGAAGGATTAGCATTGAATCTCAGGGCTTTCTGGGTACCCACCCCCTTTGGAAGCAGACTCCCTGCAGGGAAGGTCTTCCGGCTCAGCAGCAGTGTGGGAAGCCAGTGGCTCCATCAGGCCCATGCCCTGACCAGAGCGTTAGCTATGTTTATCATCTAGAATACTTTTTTTTTAAAGATTTATTTATTTATACAAGCACTGGGTACAGTCAGAAGCGCGGGAGGGTGAGAGAATTCACCAGAGCCAGAGCGGGGAGCAGAGCAGGCAGAAGGACGGAAGTACACTGCTGAGGGGAGCAGCGGGCGGCAGGAGAGGTCTGCGCACCATGTGGGACCCTCGCTGGTGGCCGGGGATCAAACCGGCGCTGCAGAGGCTGCAGGCAGCTTCACAATCCAGCGCTCAACCGCTGCGCCACCAGGGGAGGCCCCGTCTAGAATACTCTTTAAGTGCAGTTTTAAATGCAGTGTAATGTGAATTTCAGGTTTCGTTGCTTTTTTAGGAAGGGGAAAGTTATACTTAGTGATATATTTTTGTCTGACTAAGGTACTTAACTGGTTAATGAGCAAGGTTTGGTCCAACTTCTGGAGAGGTGCAGCTGGCATTGTCACGCTTGCTCGCTGAAGAAGAATGTAGCCGGGTTTTGCTTACAAGCGCTGATTCAGAGGTGGTTTTATGAAGTAAAAATTCTAAGTTCTTATCTCTTAGGCTTTATTTTTGCCAACATTGTCAGAGCTAGCACATCTGGCTTAGATTCTAAAATAGTCTGGTTTTATGCTTCAGTAAAAATGAATCCAATCAAATTGGAATTTGAAGATAGATAAAAGGAAGGATTTTGGTACAGTGAGAATTCTTAAACATAGCAAGGTTATCGGGGAAGGTCCTAAAAACTTCCTTTCTAAATAGCCTTTAGAAATAGGACGGTGCCTTTTTTTTTTTTTCAGTGTATGCAGGTTGTTGAGAGCAAGTTCTCCTTGAAGGGTGCCCAGGTGAGGAATCTCAGCCGTTTTCCCAGCTGTATGAGTCTTGGTTCTACTCTCTCCCGTCACTTTCCATGCGAAGATTTATTTATTTGATGGGGACAGGGGCCGAGTTTCATCTTCTAAGTTAGGTTTTCATTTTGATAAAATTAAGTATGTCATCTTTACCAGACTTCGCAATATCCATCTCTCGCTGAGGCCCTACCCAATCAGTCCAATGTGATTTCTGAATTATTTGCTCCCCCTCCCTAAGAGTGGATTTGTGCATATAGTCAGATACTTGGCAACTCCAAATGCAGTTCATTCAAATTCTTGTTTTAATAGACAGTGAAGCACAACAGACCACCTTATATTTCAACCAGTTGCTTAGGGAATATTTAAGAATAGCAATGAAAAATGTTTTAGGAATCAAAGCAAACACTCCTGGTGCTGACTGGGAACTGTGTGTAGTCCTCTTCCGTCTCTATGGTATAGCTGGTACGAACTTGTCAGTTTGTGCCAGCCCTGGCCCCCACCCCACCCCCGCCATTCCTTATTATGCTGACCTTGGAGCCATTAGCAGAACCTCAGCAATTTACTCTTTCATGAATAATGTACTCTGAAATGGCAGGCTGGAGGCTGGTGGCCCAGCTGTGCTGGGTATTTATAGTTCATGCCAGTAAACGTCTCAGTTGAATCAGTCAGGAGCTGAGGGCCTGATCGCTTTTCAAGTTGGTGGTGAGAGAAGTGAGTCAGCATTTCTTTAACTTCTTAGAGTACAGAGCGGCGCTGCTGTATGGCATTGCGATTCCCTAACTGTGGGGTGAGCCTATATGTTTGCTTGTTGTTCTTAGCTGTTTAAACCTCAGAAGTGTTCCTGGCTTGGTAAGCCACCCCCTTACTGGGCACACAGAGAGAAACCACTTTCTGCCTGTCTTGAAGCACGTCGGGGTCACCCCAGGTTTGCTGGAGGCTGGCCTTCACCACGGCTTTCCAGGGGATGATCCACAAATGCTCAGAAAGTTTTTTTTTCCAACAGGAACGTGGGTGGAGTTCAAGTAACAAGGCCTAAGCCTGCTTATGACAGGGCAGCGAGGTTTCTGTGTTACAAGGTAGAAAAGAGTGGTGTTTCGAAGAGTAAATTAATTTAGTGTAGACTTTTTATCCAGCAAGAGTTACTTCGGAAAAACCTGTTTTACAACCGGTTCTTCGCATGCAAGTCATCAGTTTTACATTTCATTTTTTCCCTTTGTCCTTTCTTAGGACCAGCCTTAGGTCTGTGCAGGCAGAGCTCCACCAAGACTTCTCTTGACAGTACTGCTTCCTCCCTCCTGCCTGGGCACCTGTGATAGAAACCACTCAGCCCTGATTTTCGGATTGGCCCCTAACCTTTGCCCTCTGAGAGTTTCTGGGTGTAATACCAAATACTTCATAAGGCTAGAAAGTGTGAGGAAGTACTCTCACTTCTACCCAGTGGTTTAGAGGCGAACAGTTATTTTTAAAGAAGACCGGCGAGCTTTTAGTGTTAAATGTCTATTGACATTTTTGCCAGAAGTATTGATTTTTCCCTCACTCTTGTTTTTCAGGTTCTGCTTTCTTCCCCGGGCGATGTGCTGAGATCTTTGCCAGGGGTCAAAGCATCGGGAAGCTCGGGGTCCTGCACCCTGATGTTATCACCAAGTTTGAGCTGACCATGCCCTGCTCCTCCCTGGAAATCAATATCGAGCCCTTTTTGTGAAGATGGATCTCTGTTGTGTGACTCCCTGAGTGTCTCTTTCTCCTCTGCCGCTGTCCTCTAGTCGTCCCCCACAGGGAACATCTATTTGTGCTTTAATGTTTGATAAAGTAGAAAGCGCTGTCTGGGTCTGCGGGCAGAGCCACCCCTCTCCCGGCGTAAGGCCGGTGTGGTGTGAGGGCGCCTGAGCAGCGTGCCAGCCAGAAGATTCTGCAACCAGGCTGCTCCTCAGGCGACAGCCTTCCTGCCACTGTTATTCCGCATAGCAGGACCCCATTCTTTTCCTCATTGATCAAACAAGACAGTTGGTTAAAGCACATATTCACAGGAGAGAGAGAGCGAGCACTGGGACTTTTAGTTTTTGTGTCCTGCATTTGACATGTAGTCATCATTGGGAAATAATAAACACCCTTAAGAATCAGTGCTGGTCTCGTAGCTATCCTTTGAGGTTATTCTCCCAAGTGTTCAAAATATTGTGGGGTACGTAGGTATTTTTACACTCTCTGATACTCTGAGCTTGTACATGGAATGTAGATAGGTCTGCATGAAGAGTTCAAACGGACATGCTGATGTCCGTGAAATATGAAAATACAAAACAATGAAAAGCGTAATTTTGCCCTAGGTCATTCATTTTTTACTTTACTGTGATAAAATCATAGTGTGTAAGATACTTAATCGAGCTACTCGTTTATCTTCTATTGCAGGGAGGTATTAGAAACTCTCCTCTGACACCAGCTTTGCCAGTCATCCCTGTTTACCTTCTGATTTACTTCCTTACTTGTTACAGACTCTCTAGAGGTGCACCATCTACTGAACTGTACTGTTTGAGAACAATTCTCAGTTATGTTGATTTGATCTGAAACAATAAAATGTAAAATTGGAACGTACATCCTGGTGGAAACAGCTAACAAAGATAAGAGTTTATAGAGTTTTGGCAAACCTACTAAGAAAAAACCCAGCCCTATTACAACCTTGAATCAGGGCACCGAAGTCCAACTTAGCAAGATTTGTGAACAAACAGACTTTCATCCAGTCCTCAGTTCCTTTGTAAGCAGATCCTTACGGCAGTTAACAAGTGAAGTGAGATTGTTCTTAAAAAATGCTTGTCAATAAATAGGACAGCATCTAGCATTCATAAAGATGTCTCACAGCTGAATAGTAACACAACCCAGTTTAAAAAAAAGGGACAAAAGAGTTGAACAGACATTTCCTGAAAGGAGAGGTAAGTGACTAACGAATACATGAAAAAATGCTGAACATCATTCGTTATCAGGGAAATGAGAATAAAAACTGCAATATGAAATCAAAGAACTAAAAGTAAAAAGACTGATGTACCAAGTGTTTTTTGAAACGAGTAACAGGGACACTTTGGGGCTCTGCTGGTGGGAATGGAAAATGATACAACCTCTCTGGACACAGTCTGACGGATTCTTACAATAGAAAACACATACCTGCACTCTAGCCAGCCTACTCCTAAATTCACCCATGTGGTCACATAAAACTTCAGTGCAAAAATTCACAGCATTGTTATGCACAGCAGCCACACCCAGATAGCTTCCAACACATGAATGTATAAACAAATTCTAGTTTATCCAAATTCTAGTTTATCCACAACAGCATATCTATAAATACTCAGCAACAAAGAGGAATGAACTATTCTGATACTTAAAACAACATGGATGAGCCTCAAAACATTATGCCAAGTGAAAGACACCAGATACAAAAGACTGCACGTTTCCATTTATATGAAATTGTAGAAAAGTCAAAGGCAGGTTGGTTGCTGGAGATCATGATGCAAGGGAATTGATTGCAAAGGGTTAAAAGAAACTCTGGGGTGAAGGAAATACTCTGTACCACGGTGAAGGTGGTAGTTAAGAGGTAAGTTATACCTCACCAAAGCTGGGAGAAAAAAGTTAAAACAACCTGTGGTATGTTAATGTTATGCAACACAGAAAATAAATTTTACGATTAGCCCTTCCATTCAAAGTGGCTTGCTGGTCCACTGCTGCTGAGCTTGCCTCCCAAAGTTTAGGTTCACTATGGTTAAAATCGCAGCTTGGGGATCACCCAGTTGCCATCTGTGGACGTGGGTGGAGCCCTGAGCTCTATTAGCAGCCAGCCACCTAGGGGGGCGTGGGGGGGTAGGGTGTGTTTGTGTCTGTGTGTGTGTGTCTCCCTGTCCCTCGCCATCGGCTGGCGCTGCAGCTTCACAGCCCAGCGATCAACCGCTGCGCCACCAGGGGAGGCCCACCTGGGTATTTTTTTGCTGGTCAGAAACTACTTGTAATGAAAAACCCACTGATACCTAATTGTATATCCCAGCACGAAAGGGGAAAGACCAACTCCATCCATCATGCAGATGGCTCTGCCCTCTGAAGCAGGAGGGCAGAAGAAAAACAATATCAGGGGCCCTAGAAGACATGAACCTTGAGCTTCCGAATCGGAAGCTCCTCAGCCGGATCACCTTACGCTCATCCCGGGTGAGGCACTGAAGTGGAGCCAGGACTGTCTGTGGGCACCGGCAAAGCTTTTACTAGAGAAGACACACAACTTAGTACAAAGGGGGAGTTCTAGAATTAAAAGGGAAATTAGCGGGTTTTCGGAAAAGTCATGATGTGGGTTTTTGTGTTTTTCAAGAAAAATGTATCATGACTTCTCTGGCAACCCTATATATACAATGCTCACAACCGCAACAGCCCGACATCCCTGCGTTTCTCCTCAGTATAGAAAGTATCTTCACATACAGTCTTATCTCGACTTTTGTTTTTTAGTTAAAATAGGAGTCCTCTCAGATTTATGACGACAGTTGACCTGAGAAATGATTTGCCTGAAAGCCGATGGCTTGAATGGGCTTGAGACCCTCTAACATGAGTGACGAGGTCGTAAGAATCTACAGGTTATTCACTGTTTTGTGTAATTTACCTACTTAACCAAAACATTCAGGTATTTTTTAACATAAAAAAATACTGAAAAAAAAAAAAAGAAAAATCTTAACTCCACTGCTTTTAAAAAATCACTAAGCAAGGCCTTGCCCAGTTGTCCATCTCTCCCCCTTCTTCTGAAGCAGCGGACCACTCGGTAACTCCGCTCATGCTGCTTCTGCCCGTGCTCTGAAGTTTGGACAGTCACTGCACACACATGTTCCTAATCTTGGGGTAATGCTCTTACTGGTTTGCAACAAGTTTTGGGTTTTATTTTACATAGCACGATATATCAAGACATTTCACCTAATGTGTCCCTTTTTCCAGGGCAGTACCTATAAACCTACCATTTTTGTTCTAAATGATGCACTGTTCTGCCGTACGGATGTCCCTAATTTGTTCATCTATTACTGTGCTGATGTAACAGATGTCACTTTGTTGATGTGACTGTTTCTCTGGGGATGGACAGTATTCCCTACTGCCTGCAATTACAAACAGGGCTCCAGTGGACTTTGATACGCCTGCCTCTAAAAGAGCACTGGCCGAGGGACCGTGAGAAGCCAGTCCATGAGGATGCAAGACGATCTAAGTGTCCTTGTCTGGTGTTGACAGACACAGAGATGGTGTTACCTAGGTATCTATGTAGATACTGCTTAGGTACGACTAAGCTACATCCCTAAATACGGTGGTTGCCAGATCAAAGACTGTTTTGAATTGCAAATGTTAAATATTCTTACCTTTTTAAGTCGTCTAATTGGGAACCAGCTAGCCAAACTCCTGCTCAGCATGCCAGGCCCATTCGGTTGGCAGAGTATGGCTCGAAATCTTACTTCTCATCTTAGCCTCTTTGTACTGTTTCGTGTAAACATCACTAATCCTACTGCTTGGATAGCAATGTGGCTCTTTTGTCCACATTACCCCAAGAGTAAACAGGTGGCCTTAAAGGGACACAACTGCCTTAAGCAAAACATGTCCTCTGAGTGACGAAAGAATCTGACCTCTGCCAACTTGTTTATGTTTAAAGAGCTTGAATAACTTTATTGTTACTGAAAAATAATCAGAGCGAGGCCAACATATGTAATGAAATTCAAGGTACCAGTACATCTGGACAGTCTGCTAGCTGCTCCCTAAGGCCTTGACCAAAGTTGGCTTAGGGACATCGACCTCACTGGACAAGCAGGGAGATGCCAGCATCTGCGAACAAGTCTGACCACAAGCAGGACAAAGCAGACCCAAGGCGGTTTTAGTTTCTGCTGCTGCCTGCTTTGTTTTCAGGTATTCAACTCTCCCTTGACTTCCTAGTAAACAGAAAGGCCAGCTGACTTTGTAACAAGACGTTGGGTTGAACAAATATCTCCAGCAGAGGATTTAATGAATTCTGTTTGTGACCCCCTGTGTGGTAAGAATATGCTCAAGGCCACACTCAAGTTTTTCATTCCCCACCCATAAGGTTTGGCTTTGATGGTATTTAAAGAAATCAGGGACATGACATGATTCTGCAGTAGAGAACATTTTGGAAAAGCCCCCGTTAGGAGGTACTTGTGAGGACAGCTGCTACAGCAGCTGTGGTGTGGCACCTGTCAGCCAGACACAGCCAACCTGCCCTTTAAGGCATGAAAAGGAAGGGGGTACGGAAGTGTCCCCACTTGATACCAAACCTGGTAGCACAAGAAAATGTCCTACATCCCCCAAGTCACAACATTGTCACGAGGAATGAAAATATTTCTGCCCCTAACAGTACCTGCTTAGGGCAGCAAGAAACCAGTGTTAAGGGATGCAAACCTGCATAAAGGTCACTTAGAGGTCGGGGTAGAGTTCTTAGTTGAGTGCTGGGCCCGACATTTAAACCAGGGGCTTTTGGGGCCTAAGGAAAACAATCACGGTCAGCCAGACCCAGCTTCGATCTTCAAAGAACCTCAGCGTCTTGCTTCCTAAGACTGAGCCGCACATGCTTTCTTTTTCCTGCTGAAGGAATATTTCCCTACTTTGTCTTCCCCACTCGCAAATCCCAAGGAAATAAAACAGCAGTTTTCTAGACATCGCACAGCAAAGGCCTGTGATTCCTGAACAGAAAGCAAGGTGAGCCCCAGGGTGGCCCAGCTTTCTGCCAGAGAAGCAGGCAGCCGTGCCGGGAGGGCCCCACGCAGGGTGCTGGTGGCCAGGAGCTGACAGATGGAGCCGGGGTCCTCAGAGGCCCAGCGGCTCAAGGTGGCAGGGAGATGAAAGCTGCCCGGGGAGATTTGTGGAGCTCCCTTCCCCTCCCCCAGTCTTCAGTAGAGTCCTGATCAGCACTTGCCTAGGAGACAACGACCAGCAAAGAGGAAACCACCCGGAGGCCTCCAGGGAGCCCCGAGGGAGCAGTACCTGGACTCACAGAGGGAAACGAACTGGTTCTGGTTCTTCACAGTAAAGCCTAAACACAAGACCTGGAAGAACTGGACTATTTCCCAGGAATGAACCACAACAAAGCTCAAGAAAACAGTTATCCAAGGACACCAGGCATCCAAGATTGTAAAGTTCACAGTATCCGGCATCCAATAAAAAGTTACCACACTAGGGCCTCCCCGGTGGCACAGTGAGTTGAGAGCTGCGCTGTGAAGCTGTCCGCAGCCTCTGCAGCGCCGGTTCAATTCCCGGCTGGCCAGGGAGAAACCCACATGGTGCAGCAGACCTCTCCTGTCGCACCCACTGCTTGTCTGCCTGTTCGACCCCCACTCTCTCTCTGGTGAATCCTCTCACCCGCCCGTGCCTCTGGTCTGTACCACAGCTCTTGTATAAAAATAAATCTTTAAAAAAAACAAATAAAAATCTTTAAAAAAGTTACCACACAAGTAAACTAGTTGGAAAATACAACCTGTAATGAAGAGAAAAAGGAATGAAAAGCCGACTCTAATGGCATAGATAACACTAACAGAGGGCGGGGTATTACTGCACCTGTATTCCATGTGCTCAAGGGGCTGCGGGACTGACTAACTTAGTTAAGCAGAGACACAGAAGATTTCTAGAAATGAAAACTCCAACGACTGGGATAAAATAGAAAAGAATAAACATTTTGGGGACTATGAACATCTATCTAATAACATCAGACGTGGTGAAGAATTTCTATCAACCTGTTTTTCTTCTCCTTCCACAGCAAAAATAGCTTTCTAGCCAAATATTTTTATCGGAACCTCAGAAAGAACACGGCCAGTGTCCAGAATGCCCTGTGCATCATCTCACAGCTCGGCCCATGCGGTTCCCTGTGGCTGAGCCGCTCCTCCTGCGGCCAGAGGCGGTTCCCGGGGCTGGCTAGCAGGCAAGGGCACGAAGGAGGTACCCTGTGGCTTTGCCACGGCCCCAACCATCAGAGGCAGCTCTGTCTGCGTTCAGAAGGCCTCGGCAGGTGTGTGAACACTTCCGTGAGGAAGGAATCTGGCGGGTGCTCTGACCAAGCCAGGGGACCGATGTCATGGCAAGACAGCCAGGCCGGCAGATGGGCTGAGCACGTGCTTTAAAGAAGCCGGAACTCCGAGCTGCGTCCCTGCTTTTCTTGTTTGTTTTTGCATGCCAGATAGACAGGCGTGGAAAAGGGAAAAGGATTTTTGGCTTCGTATAGCTCCTTGTCTCATGTGGCTACAGTTTCAAGAATTTAACATTCTATTCATGGTCCACAGTCAACTCTCATAGTTAATGTGCATCCTGTAAATAGCCAAGTCTGTACTACAGGTGTGCCCCACTTTAAGAAAACAATGGTTGCATGGTGTGTCCAAAATAATTCATGAAAGGGCCTGATGTTTACAGAAATGAAGGATTGCCATATGATTTTTCAACAAAAAGCCTTGTGGAGCTCTTAAAATTCATTTTTTTTTTTAAAACAAGCACAGGCAGCTTTCAGGAAAACATGTCATCCCCAAAATAAGATACTTCTGCAATACCCCAATCCACTTGGCTCTAGTTGGCCTCTTACTAGAGAACCAGGTCTAATTCATCATCTTTCAAAATAGAACTTTATAGGTCCCTCAAAGGACTGGGTGCAGGCCAGAGGTGTGGGGAGGGAGGGATGAGAGTGGGGAGCAGAACTGGCGGATCGACTGAAATACACTGCTGAGGGGAGCAGTGGGCAACACAGGAGAGGTCTGCTGCGCCATGTGGGTAGCTCCCTGGCCAGGGAGCGAACTCAGGCCACAGAGGAGATAGCGCTGAGACGTAATTCCTAGGCCACCAGGGGGGCCCAGGGCAAAATACTTTTTAAATGAAGTTCCACAGGGCAAATCCTGGCAGCTGAGCAGCAAGAGGTGGAGGAAGGCCAGGCACCAAGGACAGACGGAGCCAGTAGCTGCCACCGCTCTACAGGGAGGCAAGGGGGTGACTCTGAGACTGCTAAATACTCGAATGAGAACAGTGTGGGAGACTAGGTCACCTCTGGAGGCCCCCTGCCCCCAGCAGTCCCACATGATGCGAGGAACTAGACCACGGGCCCTCATACCCCGACTTGGTTCTGCAACATCAAAGCCCTGCCTGGCTCGTCCCTTGTTCCCCCACAGCTGCCACTGTTATCCCTAAACCAGACAGACCGGGTTTGGATTTTCCTGGCCAGAGCTGGGGGTGTTTGGGGAAGAGTCCCTGGGAAGCGGAGCCCTGCCCAGCCGGTTCTCCTCCTACCACTTCCCGGAACATCCCAGCACAAAGCCATCTGCTCCCTAAGCCTGGCTCAGCGCTGCTGCTCCCAGGAGGCTTCCTTGAGTTACTGCAGCCCCCAAGCTGGAATCGATCACCCCTTGCTCCAATTCCCACGACAGGGTTCTCTTTCCCCTGCAGCCTCGACAAACTGCACATGGAATTGTGATTCCCTGCGCCTGTCTCCTCCTGGAGCACTGGGCTCGCACGCGGCCTTACGCCACGGCGCCCGGAGCATTAGGCTGTATTAGCCCAAGCAGGGTCCTGGCCTTGGCCCTGTGGTAAGTTTTTTCACACCCAAGTACTAACCAGGCCTGACCCTGCTTAGCTTCCAAGATGAGATGAGACTGGGCACATTCAAGGTGGGGTGGTGGTAGGTGCCCGCCTGGACCATTTCAAATAGCAAATTCAGGACCCTTAAAGGCGGAGCACATGGTGTGAGGATGTGACTGTAGAATAGGCTCATGCTGACTTGGTTCAGCGGCGTGTACACATCTGTGACAATTTTTGTTACCTTAACTAGTGATGTCTACACCATTCAGCGTTCATCGCAGTGATCTCCATCTCCAAAGATTACGGTAAAGGGTGCTCTCAGCACCTCGGAGCAAGCACATGCCTGTACCACCTCCTATTAATCGCATCTGTGGCCAGTGGGACACCACCCCCTGCCTGTGATTTAATGATGACAACGGCAGGGTTAGATAAGCTGTTTATTTTTGTCCCTTCTCTTCAGTTCAAGTCCAAGGGGGATCCCCAAAAAAGGACGAGGGTGAAAAAAAAATCAAATGAAGCAGAACTTTAGCTTTTCAAGCACTTAATGAGATGTCCTAATCAAACAAAAAAGTGGTTTCATTTTAAAATGAATGCATTTACATATGGTACATAAGACAGCTGAAAGCTTCCAAAAGAGAAACCCAGGGCACAGGGCCCGAACCACCACGTGGTTTGATTACACTTGGGAAGCACAAGCTGCCCCGAGACCCTCTGAAGTGGCAGGGCGGCCACCAGGCAGCTTAGCCACTGTCCTTTAGGGGCGTTTGTTCAGGGATCCCGTCTGCGTTCCCTTTGTCAGCGTTTTCCGATGCGATACAGGTTTGGGCAAAATTGTCACGCAGTGAGAGCGGTTTCAAATGAAGGCTGTAGGATGGACGACCTGGCCTTGATGGCAGGTGGGTCGGGGCAGGATGAACACTGCTAGGAAGAGGGCACGTCTGCCTGCCCAGTTCCTGGAGACCCGAAAATCCTCAGAGCTTGTTAGTTCCCAAATGCCGGGTTTGCTAGACCTTAGGTGCTGAGCTTTTATACCAGATCCAGCTGCTGAGCTTGACTTTCAGGTTCTTCTGTATCTCACACACTCCAGGACCAAGCCCGAGGCTCCACCAGCAGGGGGCAGTCTTTCCCCAGAGAGAAAATCCAGCTCTCCAAGGTGCAGGAAGGGTGAGCTTGGAAGTAAGGGTGTGAGGCGTGAGGGAGGGTGGCGCAGGACCTGAGTTTAGTCCCATAGTGCTGTGGAGAGAGGCTGGCAGCTGGCAGAACAGAAGCTGGAATCTGGTTGGGAATCATGACTTTACTGTCAGATTCCACCTGGTTCCAGGCCAAACAGCAGGAGGGCTCAAAAGCTGAGTTTGGCTTTGTTGATATTTACTTTTATTCTTCCACTGGTTGGAATAAGATACTTTTAAGAAGTGACCAGATCGTGCAAATCCTTGGGCCAGTCTTTAATGTATCCTGGCTCCTATATTCATCCTCTATACTGTGTACATTCGGCTTTAAATACAACAGTGCAGCTGACTGACCTTCCAATATTTGCCATTTAAAAAAGGGACAGCAGTAAAAATTTCTCACACACACACACACACACACACACACACACACGAACTGCTAATAGCCATTGCTGTGACAATAATTTAAGCCCCTTGCTCAAAAAACTAGCAAACAAAATATTCCAGGTGGTTGGTTTCAGAAAAATCAAATCAAATCCTTTTGGGTCAACGTGACCCTGTCTCTGATCTCTGGTTTAGCAGGGTGCTGGGAGGAGTTACAGGGAAGTGCCTCAGCCTGGGGTTGGTGGGGCCCTAAGGTAGGGCTACTCATTAGCACCCTGTGCCCCCTCGCTGCTCCCACACCCCGAATTTGATGTGGAGACAGTCAAAGAGCAGGCTGCTTTAATTCCTGCCTTCTAGGTATGAAAAGCATGAGGAAATCTTGAAGGAAAAACAGGATGTTTTACTAAAAATCATTCTTCTCAAGAAACTGGGGCACTAAGTCAAACAAAAGGCCAGGTGCATATTCAAGATCCGGACAAACCACTCTGGAGGCAGAAGCAAAGCCCTAATTTTCAAGGCAGGCTACTCTCCCCACAAGTGTGTGCTTGGAGATGGGGTGTTATGGTTATAATCATTGGTTTCCGTGGCTCAGACACTGGATGCAACAGATACATCCTGAACTACGTATTTACACTAACTTTTAGGAAAATCATGATACCTGTTCCTTATTGTTAAGAACTGAAGAGCCGCCCTTGGAGGGAGGCCTCCTGTTTGATGCTGATGGCCCTCCCAGGGCCAATGAGGACACAAGGTGTAGAGCGTGTTGCATGCGATTGGCTTGTATTCCCAAGAGAACCTGAAGTTGGTCTTGAGTTAATTACCCTTAAAATTGCTAAGGGATCAGATGTGGAAAGATATCTATTCCGTAGATGAGAAAACTGATGTACAGAAAGCAACGGAAATTCCTGGGACTGTTTCTGAGGGGTTTATTCCGGCGCTTTGGCAAGCCTCAGTGAGGATGAATTTCACCTGCTCTCTGATCCATCCGCTGAGCGGGCAACGCGCCTCCAAGTTTGCACGGGAGGAAGAGACACTGAAAATGGGCAGAGGGCTTGTCCCGAGTCACAGTGAACAGGAGAATCAGACACCGAGGCCCAGAGGTACCTGCTGTGGAGGAGGGGAGACCCCTGCAGCACTGGGGAGGGGGGGATCAGCCATTTGATCTCACGGCTCAGGAGTGTAGACGTGGTACCTGGAATCCTGTGAAACAGACAAACAAGGAAGAGGAGACCCCAGATCCCACGAGGGTGCCCGCAGGGACAGGCTCACAGGGAGTGGCGTCTTCCTCCGACTCAGACTCATGCTGTGGCCCTCAGCAGCACAGTCTCACTCGACCATAGTGAAAGAAACATCCCGTCCAAGGAATGTGTTTCCAGGTGCGTCCCGTGTCCCGCACCAGAGCTCCATTTGGGAAACGAGACTCAGGACTGGGCAAGGTGATAGCTGAACAGAAAGGCTTGGCCTCTGGCCCCCATCGTCATGGCTCTCCAGAACCCAGTGGGTCTGGGGGGCTGCTCCTAGGCCAAGTCACATTCCTGCCGGCCCCTGGCTGGGGCCAAAGTCGGAGTAACAGACAGGGTGGGGGATGCTTAGAGAGCTTGACTGTGGCTTCAGTGAGCAGCACGGCCCTCACTGACCACTCACCCTGCGAGACAACTTTCATTCCGTGTAGCAGCAGGATTTTTCTCAGATGTCAGCAAAACGAACGTGTGACATAGGACTTAAAAAAAAAAAAAAGAGTTGGCAAGGATTGCCCACCCACCCAACATCCCGGTATCTGTCTCATGTCCAGTGGCCTCATCTGCAACCATCAGAGGCTCAGAGCAATCCCAAAAACCTGTGCAGCATTGGCACGAAGGTCGTGGCACAGATGCCAACAGACGTGTAGGTGACAAACTTGTAAGGCACTTCGATCTCCAGCCTCCGCCGGGCCTCCTTGTTCCTGGCGACCACCCTGAACCACGAATACAACACTTGCAGGGAGAGATTCTGCACGAGCTGTCGGACCAAGAGGATCAGCACGATGCCCACAGCAAATTTGGTCAGGCCCAAAACGACCATGTCGGTGGTGAGCGGGGGGATGTTTTGCAAGACGGGGAGGGCCTGGGTGGGCTCAGACACGAGCTGGAAAAAATGGTTGATCCAGAATCCGATGGTGACCCCCGCCCCGGCCGCCATGATGGTGGTGGTGTCCGCCCTGGTGGGGCTGTAGTAATCAGACACGGGGTAGTTGTAACACAGGAAGAACGGGACCACTATGACACACACGGGGAAGAGCGGGCTGGCGGAGTCCAGGCTGTCGATGAGAGTCCAGGCGGGGAAGGTGAGGACGATGAGGACCACGGTGATGAGGATGCCGCCCAGCACGTCCTGCCAGGAGAGGAGAGAACACGTGAGCCAGGGAGTGCCTCCCGAGAGACAAGTCTGCTTCCGCTCAGGCACGGGTCACCTGCCATCGAAAGCGCAACGTTTACATGGCTTTGTGACACTGGGCTAGACATGCCATCGCTCCCAGGTTTCTGGGTTGTATCGGCTTCCTTCACACAGGCTACCATCACACTGTTCCTCCGATCTGCTAATTCTGGAGGACTGTTACATGCCAAGTGTTGTGACAGTCTTCGCAGAGGTGACACGGCCTGTCCTTGGCAGGCAGTAGAGGTCCCTGCGGGAGGAGGATGAGTTTCAGGAGCCGCACTCGCCCGGCCACACACCGCTGTTGCTCACAGGGATGTTGACTGGTTGGGGAAACCATCCTGGAGGTGGTGGCGGCACCAGAGATTCGCCTTGAGCCTGGGCACCCCCCTTGCTCTTCAGAAACACTGAAACTGCATGAGCAATTGCATCGAGCGGCAGTGTAATGCTTGGCTTCGGGGCTCCTCCTTTACCACATGTTACTTAATTTTTAAAATAAATTTAAGGTTTTTAGTATTTATTTATGCATACAGGAGCTGGGGTGCAGGTCAGAGGTATGAGGGGGTGAGAGGATTCATCAGAGAGAGAGTGGGGAGCAGAACAGGTGGATCTACTCAAATACATTACTTAGGAGTCTGCAGGAGGGATCTGCTGTGCCATGTGGGTAGCTCCCTGGCCAGGGATCTAACTCACATTGCAGTGGCTGCTGATAGCTTCACAGTGCTGGCGTAACTCCTTGCACCACCAGGGAGGCCCCTTTACAACATTTTAGATGTGGTTTTCGATTTCCTTCCTCCTTCCCTCCCGTCTCCTACTCTCACTCCTTTCCTTCTGTCCTTCCAAGCCCTTTTAAAATATCTTAGTGTCCTCATTGCAAAACTTATTAGCTGGTAAAGTCTTTATTCGATTATTCGGTGATCAACCTAAGTCAGAGGATGGAGAATTTGCTGTGGTTTCATGTGGTTGTTTCTGAAAGTTCATAGTGTAAACGCTTAAAATATTTCCTCCATGCATTAGAAAACACCAAGAAGTATCCATAGCTTACCTATTGTTAATAGTGCTCCATCTTCTTGACCGGATCAAGAAGATGTGGTACATATACACCATGGAATATTACTCAGCAATCAAAAAAGATAAACACATGCCATTTGCAGCAACATGGATGGCGCTGGAAGGGATCATGCTCAGCCAAATAAGCCAGAAAGAAAAAGAAAAATACCGGATGGTCTCACTCATAGCAGGAATCTAGAAAACTTAAATAAGGGACCAGGAAAATGAATAACTATAAGTGAAAATCTAAATCAACAAACAACTATGAACCAGAGACACACTACAGGGGGGGAGAAGGGAGTAGGATCAAAACAAGGGTGGTGGGAATTTTACAGGGACAATAACCAAGAAAACACCAAGAAGTAATAACTCTATGCATTATAGAAAATCTTGAAGGGCCTCCCTGGTGGCACAAGGGGTTAAGCACCGCAGTATGAAGCAATCCACAGCCTCTGCAGCATGAGTTCTATCCCTGGCCAGCCAGGGAGCTACCCACATGGCGCAGCAGACCTCTCCTGACTCGCCCACTGCTCCCCTCAGCAGTGTATTTCACTCAGTCCGCCTGTTCTGCTCCCCGCTGTTTCTGCTGAGTCCTCTCGCGCCCCCACATCTCTGACCTGTACCCAGCTCTTGTATGCATAGACAAATCTTAAAAAAAAAAAATTAAAAAAAAAACATGCAAGAAGAATCACTGAGGCTACAGCAAGTTTCACAAACCAGGTGGCATCCAGGTATCCTCTGGATGCCCCCATGTGAGAGCCTGCTCTGTACCCCAGACACGGGCACCCCAGGACCCCGAGGGAGCCCACAAATACAAGCCATGTCTAAGCAGAGTGTGAGTGTGGTGGACAGACGACTGATACTTGAGAGTGAAAAAGGTGAGTGTGTGTGCCATGAGCAAACACCTCTCCTGCGGGGGCAATAGCCCTGTCCACATCCTCAGGATGACATCGGGGTGTTGTTGTGTGGAGCCCCGCAGGCGCTCTCGCTGGGTAACAGCCTGACTCGATTTTCACTCTCCAGGACTGTTCTGACCGGAGTGAGGAGAACGGTGGGGCCAGCCCGGTGCCCTCGGAAGCCCTGTGTCTCTGTGTGGCACCCTGGGCGTCCCTGGCTCTTTCTCCCACCATCCTCACTCCCCTTGGCCAGCCTCTCGGGCCTCAACACGTCCACAGTCTCCCTCCCTGTGATTCCTTGTCCTGAGTTGGAAATCCTTCATTTATTTCCCTGGTACCAGAACCGGACCAAAGTTTGATCGCCTTGAATTCTCTCCACTCACTGCCTCCACCTCGTCAGCTCAAAACTCAGCTGCTCCCAACTCCTAGACTTTCACGAGAGCCGTTCTCAAGACCCCTGACTGGACATTCTTCATCTGTTTCTTCAGCATCGATGTCTTTGACCCAACAGTCTCATGTTTCCCCACAGAAGCCCTGGGGAGTCTGCTCAGTGACGGCGTCGGAGCAGCTGACCCAGGGGGTCAATCAGTGCACTGGACCCGGGCCACTGTGATTGATGCTCAGGTGGTCACGTGACCTGGCCCAGTCCAGTCAGAATGAACTGGGGAGCTGCCCAGTTTTTCTTGGTCTTCACGGACAGGGTGTGTCCTGCCCCCTTGAGCACCAGGTCCTGTGGACTAAACCCTTTGCTTAGCTGCCCTTCCATGCTCACCTTGTACTCATGTCACCTCGCACCATCCTGGCTCTTCTCTGACCCTTAAGAAGTTTCTTTTCTTTTTCTGCCTTAGATCTGCCTCCTCTTCCCACATGCCAAATGGGGATGTCTCCTGGCATCCTTTTTTGAGCCTTGGGTGTTTTCTCCCTGAAGAGTTTGTGTGGGTCCACGGCCGCTGCTCTTCATTCTCGATCTACGTGACCCACCTGTCTTCAGGCGTCTCTCTTAATGTCAGCCCTGTCTTCTTACTTAATTTTTTAAAAGATTTATTTATTTATATAAGAATTGGGGGACAGAGCAGACCACATGTGCAGGGGGTGAGAAGATTCACCAGAGACAGAGCGGGGAACAGAACAGGCAGACTGACTAAAATACACTGCTGAGGGGAGCAGCGGGTGAGCCAGGAGAGGTCTGCTGCACCATGTGGGTCACCTCCCAGGTCCGGGATCGAGCTCATGTCACAGTGGCTGCCAATAGCTTGATAGCACTGACACTTACCCCTGCGCTACCAGGGAGGCCCTGATTCTAATTTTATATAAATATATACTTACAAGTATAAGATATCAGAAGGAAATAAACTAAATAGTAAATGAATATGAGTATCTGTATATTACAGATGATTATCTTTCCCATGCTTTGCAATATTTTCTAGATTTTTCTAGTCAATGCCTATTATTTATTTATTTATTTATTTATTTATTTATTTATTTATTTATTTTTGTGGGACCCTCACTGGTGGCCGGGGAATGAACCAGCGCTGCAGAGGCTGCGGGCAGCCTCGCAGCCCAGCGCTCAACCGCTGTACCACCAGGGGAGGCCCAATGCCTATTATTTTTATTATAATTATAATCAAGGACAAGAAATTAGAGTGTTTCAAAATAGATGAAAGTAGAAATAACAAACCGCTGCTTATAAATCTGTGCATCATGCCAAAAAAAAAAAAAAAGAAAAAACACCTCCCTCCACGAATCTAAATGATAATTAACATACCATCTTTTATGGTATAAGTAACATTTAAGATAAAGGCACATCAGATGTGTGGCCACTGCTACCCTACAGGCTGTACTGCTTAAAATACAATCAACCTTTAATTCAATTTACAATCTGATATTTACATGAAGTCTTTAAATTACTTGGAAAATAATCATTACCAAAATTAACATTTTCCGAAGTTAAAATGCAGGAACTTCTAGATCCTGTTGGTTTTTATATCAGTTCTCATTTTCAGTTTTAAACTTTGTATTTAGATAAACACTTGAGTTTTATTATATCTCATCCCAGAGAGCAAAAATAAAGACAGGCCAACTACTGTATTAAGAAAAGAAAGCTAACAGCACTATCCCAAGCATCAGAACAAGTTTGAGTGAACGCTTATATGAACACATAAAAGAGAGTGGGTTTTTTATCCTCAGCCAAACAGAAAAACTCCTCCTTTGGGCAAACATCTCTAGGTATTTCAACAGCAGGCCCAAACCCTGAGAACGGCCAGTATTTGTGAATTCTGACCCACATGCCATCCCCATATGCAGTTTACTGCGACAAATTTACATTCTATCTCCAAATATCTTCACTGAAGAATGCCATTGAGCAGACCAGCACAACACAAGGTTAGCTAACTAGAAAGAGGGGAGAACAAACCCATTCATTCAATTGTTAGGCAAGAATGCATTCAGACCTTGGAACTATTTATGCTGAGAACTCTATGATTCTGGCATCTTCCCCTCTGCCAGATCCCCTGCTGAGAATGTGAAGGGCCCTCTCTGCCCTTGGCTGCCTTCACAGCACAAGCCCAAGCCAGAAGCAGAGGAAAAGCCAACACCCACTTCTTTGTCCATGCGCTGAATGCTCTGAATGTGAGCAGACCCTGACATTACAACACACTGGAGAAAACACCCACCACCTTACAATTGTTCTAGGAAATCATTTTAGTTATAGATCAGTCAGTGCTTCCTAGTTAACACTCAGAATTCTTCTTTTGCATGCTGGCCCACGATTAATTCAATTTCTGGGAATAATGCAGATGAGATTCAATAGAAGCCAAATGGCAACACTGTTCATGAATATGAATATAAATGATTACAGAGAAACCTACACAGTTATGTAATTAGCATATGCATCAGGGAGAAAGAGTGACTGCATACGTTCAAAAATATGAATGTCCGACTGAAACATACCACGTTCCTTTATTAATGTGTGTCCACAGGGGTCTGTCAAACACAGGTTTACCTGGCCATGTG